TATATATATATATATATATGTTTTACCCATAAATATATATATATATATTTATGGGTAAAACATTTTTAAGAGAAGAAGAAATGATTTTCTAATATATGGTAGCTAGATGTACTAAGAAATGAAATACTGGAATGATTTCTGTTGCATTGTAAGAACTATGAAAACCACCATTATTTTTTAAAATCAATCTCTGTCCTGTGGCTGGTTCCCTGCTGCCTTTCCAAACAACTTCAACAATGTCTTCCAGAAATCTCTGAAGCCCCTCCCGTGTCTTCCTCTCTGTACCTTACATTATTTCTGTTAAGGAACTTGCTTCTTTTCTATCCAGGCATAGACTCTCGAAATTGGGGTTTGCAAGTGGCTCAACACTGTATTCCCCATGGTGCCTAAATGGGTCTGGAGCCTAATAGGACTTCAATATATAACTGTGAAAAGGATGAGTGACCTCTTCCTGCTTCCACTCAAGGAAGCCGTGGCCAAGGGCATCAAACTGGCGTCTGTTTCAGAGGTTCCAGTCAACAGAGCTGACCCCTAGCTGCCAGACAACAGCCACAGTAGCTGTGTGAACATACTCCTTCTCATTCAAGGATGGCTAAAAGGTGACATATTTCCTTTATTCTCTCTGCACTCCTTCTTTCCAAACGAACCTCCAAAGATATTTGAACATAATTTCTTTGAACAACTCTATCCAATGTAAACTGTGTAGATCTCCAGCCACCTGATATTTTTGGTATGAGCCTCATCTTCACCTTAATATCTGTAATGTCACTGAGACTCCCCAGGCAAAGGGCTAAAGAGTACTGAGTCTCATTATGTTAGTTTTACCATAAAACTGTTATTGAGGAGGAGATGGAAATAACAGGATACTTTATGAGAGCTCTGGGCTTCTTTAGCTCTCTCGTGGCTCCTAACGAGAGCATAATCACAAAATTATTATAGGGAATTTTTTTATTCAACCAAAAAAAATGACACATTTTTCTGAGTCTGAACTAGAAAACAACTTTTGCATGTCCCTGCTGTCATTTACCTGCACATGGTGCAAGCACTTATTTTTGGTTCTTAATGAATGCACAGAGCTTCTAATTATTTAGGGATGTGATTAAATGAGTTTCCCAGTGACTTGGTGTCTCAGGAGAAATCTTTTAATTTGCAGACTCCTATGGCTGATGTATCTTCCAAATGTGACTGTTTAACAATCCCCATTGCCACTCATTTGCCACTGCTACTCCAACTCATTGACTTTGAAAGTTTAATAGTGCCCAATGAAACTTTTAATTGCCACTGATTAGCGTTTAGGCTTCCTGAGGCAGGTTGTTAGGGGACACAGCCTGGCTTTGCAAAGAAGTGTCTGCATGGAACTGGATGAAGATAATATGAAGAACAGAATTTCTTCATCTCAACCTTTCTCCTACCCACGTTTTTCATTAAAGGCTCAATATCTATTTGTGATATTGAGCTTGACTTATTTTTATCTTATCTCAGACACCTGTTAAAAATCCAAAAGCTGGACCAGAAAAGCAAAGAATATCATAATTTCCTCCAAAATTCTGACAACATCCTTCATTGTTTAAAAATTTTAACCTAGGGCTGGGGTTGTGGCTCAGTGGCAGAGTGCTTGCCTCGCATGTATGAGGCCCTGGGTTTGATCTCAGCATCAAATAAATAAATAAATAAATAAATAAATAAATAAATAAATAAGTAAGTAAGTAAGTAAGTAAGTAAGGTATTATGTCCAACTACAGCTAAAAAACATTTTAAAAATCCTTTAACCTGTTCTTCTTTTCTAAGTCTCATTATCCCCAATTTACCTTTTTATTTCAGGGTGAGATCTAATTTCCAAATTTAATGGGTTCAGCATCTAACATCAGAGCATGAAAATCATTGCATCCCCACATCAAAATATTGTTCTGTAATCCACATTCCACTTGAAATATTTGTGGAAAATGAAACTAATAG